TGGTAAACGTCTGAGACCTGCATCACTTCGGGCTTTCCTCCCACATTAACCTGACACGCCGCGATATTAGTGGAATACTGTTAAAAGCAACTCACTCACTCACTCACCCTGTTCTTGTTTGAAGTATCTACTATCAAACACTTGACAATTTGGACAAATAAAAATCTTATGCACTTGTAAGAAAGATGACATTTGTAGTGTTGAGATGAGTGAATGAAGTGACTCCCTGACTGATGTGTCTGAACCATTAGAAGGGAGCGATGGGTCAACAGTGGCAGTATTTCATAAACATCCACACACAAAGGACAGCTATACTCCCAACACTCAGAGGCCAAGTGGACAAGGGACGAGAATTTGGGTATTATCTGGCAATATTGTCATTGATGCTCTACCCATTGCGTTGGACACAGAGGTCGTATTTGGCCAGGTCAGGCCTTGTGTGTTCTGGGTAAACCGTCTTCCATTGTAGCCAGATTTACGCACAGCTAAGAAAGAATTTTTTGTTAATCCGGAAGATGAAATTTGATCGCTGTCCTTCTTTCAAGCACCTTTGATGGAGATTTGTTGGGAGACTGCGTCAAGCAGGTGTGACGTGGATGGATGCAGTACGAGAGTACGTTACGTGGTTGCTGTTGCATGTTGGGTAGGAATTGGGAAAATGTTTAAGAGTTCTTTGCTTGAGGATGTGTTTTGGCAGTGCGTGGTGCTGTGTGTTGGAACTGATGTCGGGGGATAATGAGAGGTGTCAACACCTCCCTATTGTAGTTATTACAGGACTTAAGGTGGCAAATGGTTCACATTTTTTAACGTTAAGTAAATCTGGTAAAAGCTCCGCACAGTGTCGGCACCTGGTTGGAGCTCCACACAATGTCAGTCAAAATCCCCCGTGAGGTTTTCTTCCAAAGTAGACACTTATAATAAAACAACAGGCTCTGTCCCATAATTATTTGTTTTGAATAGAATATTCCTACTGTTTTGATATATAACTACAGAACCAATTACACTGCTTGTTTTACATATTTTCCTGGTGAAACTGCTGAGGTTACACACAAGATGAAAACAAGTGGCCGGTGTATTAAAAAAACATATTTCAAATACAACATTCAATTTTCGGTAATGTCATAAGTTTCAAAATTTCAGTTGGTTTGTCTGTGAAACAAGAAGATGAAAGCTAGTTTACAATGAATTATCAGACCACATGAGCATTGATGCAATATATGTATTTTCAAAAGAAAACTTACCGGAATGTTTTTAGTATATTTCATAGACAGAGCCCAGTCCAAGGTGCACTCGTTGGTCACAAAGATGCATGGCCATGTGACTTCCTGTCTCTGTACAGAGCATGTCAGCCATTATTAGTGTGTTGTTTCCTGATAAGTGTTGATAGTGCCATCTTTACAACATAAATCTGATTGTAGTGCAAGGTTATTTGCTGTTGGATAGATGGGTAGGGAGTTGTTTTCTTCATCCAGACAGTTATGGCTGGAATGTTGCAGCCTGCTTAAAACAACATTTACTTGCCCTCACAGTAAAAGTGTGTGTGATTCTGTTAATGTCAGATTGTGCCACACCCCAAAATCTTGCATGGAAGCTAGAGGTCACTCACTCACTCACTCACTCACTCACTCACTCACTCACTCACTCAAACCAATTCACTCACTCACTCGTCCACCAACAAACTCACTCACCAAAACCTGTCCACTTGCCCACTCACTCACTCACCCACCCACCTACCCTCACTCACTTACCAAAAACCCACCAACTCACCCACTCACTTACTCACCCGATCACTCACAGTTGATGCATGTCATCGTATCCCAATTACGTGGATTGATGCTCATGATGTCAATCACTGGATTGTCTGGTCCAGACATAATTATTTACAGACCGCTGTCATATAGCTGGAATATTGCTGAGTTAGGCGTTAAACAATAAACAAACAAAACACTCACTCACCAAAACCCACTCACTCACCAAAACCCACCCACTCACTCACTCACTCACCGAAACCCACTCACTCACTCACTCACTCACTCACTCATGAGTACTGCACTACGGCTGCTATCAGTGGCGCCATCGGCTGACTATTGATGAGAATCCATGTGGCAACACTTGCACATTTATGAGGCGTCCCGGACAGGAGGTTATCAGCAGCCAGCTGTCACATCTTGTGTTCAGCTGATACATGGAACGCTGTACTCAAAGGTGACTGTTTTACAGGAGACACGGCCACATGCAGCGGAAAGGCGCTCACTCTCACATCCCAAGACACACATTACAGAGCATGTGTTCCAGACTTGACTGAAATGGGCTCTGAGTAGCCTTGCTCCAAGGCTGTACTAAAAGAAAAGTTCGTGGACATGTAGCAATTGTATCCTCCTAATAGGCAAGTCCAGATATGTGGACTAAGGCCTCCAGTCTCTTATAGGAACAATTTGTTCTTTTTATCTTCATAATCTAGAAATTATGATTTAACTAATAATTATTGCCTCAGATACTTGTGCAAGTCTAGGCTCTGGGTTTCATGGCCAAACATTATGAGTAAAAACTGTAGTAGTTGCCTGATGTTGTCTGATGTGCTGTAGGGAAGGTTGTAGCAGTTGTCTGGTGTTGTCTCGTGTTGTAGGGAGGGTTGTAGCAGTTGTCTGGTGTTGTCTCGTGCTGTAGGGAAGGTTGTAGCAGTTGTCTGATGTTGTCTCGTGCTGTAGGGAAGGTTGTTGTAGTTGTCTGATGTTGTCTCGTGCTGTAGGGAAGGTTGTAGCAGTTGTCTGATGTTGTCTCGTGCTGTAGGGAAGGTTGTAGCAGTTGTCTGATGTTGTCTCGTGCTGTAGGGAAGGTTGTTGTAGTTGTCTGATGTTGTCTCGTGCTGTAGGGAAGGTTGTAGCAGTTGTCTGATGTTGTCTCGTGCTGTAGGGAAGGTTGTTGTAGTTGTCTGATGTTGTCTAGTGCTGTAGGGAAGGTTGTAGTAGTTGTCTGATGTTGTCTTGTGCTGTAGGGAAGGTTGTAGCAGTTGACTGATGTTGTCTCGTGCTGTAGGGAAGGTTGTAGTAGTTGTCTGATGTTGTCTTGTGTTGTAGGGAAGGTTGTAGCAGTTGTCTGATGTTGTCTTGTGTAGAGAAGGTTGTAGCATTTGTCTGATGTTGTCTTGTGCTGTAGGGAAGGTTGTAGCAGTTGTCTGATGTTGTCTTGTGTTGTAGGGAAGGTTGTAGCAGTTGTCTAATGTTGTCTCGTGCTGTAGGGAAGGTTGTAGTAGTTGTCTGATGTTGTCTCGTGCTGTAGGGAAGGTTGTAGTAGTTGTCTGATGTTGTCTTGTGTTGTAGGGAAGGTTGTAGCAGTTGTCTGATGATGTCTTGTGTTGTAGGGAAGGTTGTAGCAGTTGTCTGATGTTGTCTTGTGTAGGGAAGGTTGTAGCAGTTGTCTGATGTTGTCTCGTGCTGTAGGGAAGGTTGTAGCAGTTGCCTGATGATGTCTTGTGCTGTAGGGAGGGTTGTAGCAGTTGTCTGATGATGTCTTGTGTAGAGAAGGTTGTAGCAGTTGTCTGATGATGTCTTGTGTAGGGAAGGTTGTAGCAGTTGTCTGATGTTGTCTTGTGTAAGGAAGGTTGTAGCAGTTGTCTGATGTTGTCTCGTGCTGTAGGGAAGGTTGTTGTAGTTGTCTGATGTTGTCTTGTGCTGTAGGGAAGGTTGTTGTAGTTGTCTGATGTTGTCTTGTGTTGTAGGGAAGGTTGTAGCAGTTGTCTGATGTTGTCTCGTGCTGTCGGGAAGGTTGTAGCAGTTGTCTGATGTTGTCTTGTGTAGAGAAAATTGTAGCAGTTGACTGATGTTGTCTCGTGCTGTAGGGAAGGTTGTAGTAGTTGTCTGATGTTGTCTTGTGCTGTAGGGAAGGTTGTAGCAGTTGTCTGATGTTGTCTCGTGCTGTAGGGAAGGTTGTAGTAGTTGTCTGATGTTGTCTTGTGTTGTAGGGAAGGTTGTAGCAGTTGTCTGATGTTGTCTTGTGTAGAGAAGGTTGTAGCATTTGTCTGATGTTGTCTCGTGCTGTAGGGAAGGTTGTAGCAGTTGTCTGATGTTGTCTTGTGTTGTAGGGAAGGTTGTAGCAGTTGTCTAATGTTGTCTCGTGCTGTAGGGAAGCTTGTAGTAGTTGTCTGATGTTGTCTCATGCTGTAGGGAAGGTTGTAGTAGTTGTCTGATGTTGTCTTGTGTTGTAGGGAAGGTTGTAGCAGTTGTCTGATGATGTCTTGTGTTGTAGGGAAGGTTGTAGCAGTTGTCTGATGTTGTCTTGTGTAGGGAAGGTTGTAGCAGTTGTCTGATGTTGTCTCGTGCTGTAGGGAAGGTTGTAGTAGTTGTCTGATGTTGTCTTGTGCTGTAGGGAAGGTTGTAGTAGTTGTCTGATGTTGTCTCGTGCTGTAGGGAAGCTTGTAGTAGTTGTCTGATGTTGTCTTGTGTAGGGAAGGTTGTAGCAGTTGTCTGATGTTGTCTTGTGCTGTAGGGAAGGTTGTAGCAGTTGTCTGATGTTGTCTCGTGCTGTAGGGAGGGTTGTAGCAGTTGTCTGATGATGTCTTGTGCTGTAGGGAAGGTTGTAGCAGTTGTCTGATGTTGTCTCGTGCTGTAGGGAGGGTTGTAGCAGTTGTCTGATGATGTCTTGTGTAGAGAAGGTTGTAGCAGTTGTCTGATGATGTCGAGTGGTGAGGGGAATGTTGAAGCAGTTGTCTGATGTTGTCTGATGTGCTGTAGGGAAGGTTGTAGCAGTTGACTGATGTTGTCTTGTGCTGTAGGGAAGGTTGTAGCAGTTGTCTGATGTTTTCTTGTGTTGTAGGGAAGGTTGTAGCAGTTGTCTGATGTTGTCTTGAGTTGTGTTGACCCTTGTACCCACAGGACTCCCCGGATCCTTGGGGTGGGCGTGTGTGTTCCTGTCTGACCCTTCTACACCTGCACCTCACAGACTATTTTGTTCCCTCTAATCCCCGCCATCACCACTATATGCCCCTCTGCCCCACCTCTGCAATGTCACCCTGCCCCACCCCAGCAATGTGTCCCCCTGCCCTGCCCCCGCAATGTCCCCCTGCCCTGCCCCTGCAATGTTCCCCTGCCCTGCCCCTGCAATGTCCCCCTGCCCCACCCCTGCAATGTGTCCCCCTGCCCTGCCCCAGCAATGTGTCCCCCTGCCCTGTCCCTGCAATGTACCCCCTTGCCCTGCCCCTGCAATGTCCCCCTGCCCCACCCCTGCAATGTGTCCCCCTGCCCCACCCCACCACTACAATGTACCCCCCTGCCCTGCCCCTGCAATGTCCCCCTGCCCCACCCCTGCAATGTGTCCCCCTGCCCCACCCCACCACTACAATGTACCCCCCTGCCCTGCCCCTGCAATGTCCCCCTGCCCCACCCCTGCAATGTGTCCCCCTGCCCCACCCCACCACTACAATGTACCCCCCTGCCCTGCCCTGCAATGTGTCCCCCTGCCCTGCCCCAGCAATGTGTCCCCCTGCCCCACCCCTGCAATGTGTCCCCCTGCCCTGCCCCTGCAATGTACCCCCTTGCCCTGCCCCTGCAATGTCCCCCTGCCCCACCCCTGCAATGTGTCCCCCTGCCCCACCCCACCACTACAATGTACCCCCCTGCCCTGCCCCTGCAATGTCCCCCTGCCCCACCCCTGCAATGTGTCCCCCTGCCCCACCCCACCACTACAATGTACCCCCCTGCCCTGCCCCTGCAATGTCCCCCTGCCCCACCCCTGCAATGTGTCCCCCTGCCCCACCCCACCACTACAATGTACCCCCCTGCCCTGCCCTGCAATGTGTCCCCCTGCCCTGCCCCAGCAATGTGTCCCCCTGCCCCACCCCTGCAATGTGTCCCCCTGCCCTGCCCCTGCAATGTCCCCCTGCCCTGCCCCTGCAATGTCCCCCTGCCCTGCCCCTGCAATGTCCCCCTGCCCCACCCCTGCAATATGTCCCCCTGCCCCACCCCAGCAATGTGTCCCCCTGCCCCACCCCACCACTACAATGTACCCCCCTGCCCTGCCCTGCAATGTCCCCCTGCCCTGCCCCTGCAATGTCCCCCTGCCCTGCCCCGCCCCAGCAATGTGTCCCCCTGCCCCACCCCACCACTACAATGTACCCCCCTGCCCTGCCCTGCAATGTGTCCCCCTGCCCTGCCCCAGCAATTTGTCCCCCTGCCCCACCCCGCCACTACAATGTACCCCTCTGCCCCACCCCTGCAATGTGTCCCCCTGCCCCACCCCACCACTACAATGTACCCCCTGCCCCACCCCTGCAATGTGTCCCCCTGCCCCACCCCGCCACTATAATGGACCCCCCTGCCCCACCCCTGCAATGTGTCCCCCTGCCCCACCCCACCACTACAATGGACCCCCCTGCCCCACCCCTGCAATGTGTCCCCCTACCCGACCCCGCCACTACAATGTATCCCCCTGCCCCGCCCCAGCAATGTGTCCCCCTGCCCTGCCCCTGCAATGTGTCCCCCTGCCCTGCCCCTGCAATGTACCCCCTTGCCCTGCCCCTGCAATGTCCCCCTGCCCCGCCCCAGCAATGTGTCCCCCTGCCCTGCCCCTGCAATGTACCCCCTTGCCCTGCCCCTGCAATGTCCCCCTGCCCCACCCCTGCAATGTGTCCCCCTGCCCCACCCCTGCAATGTGTCCCCCTGCCCTGCCCCTGCAATGTCCCCCTGCCCCACCCCTGCAATTTCCCCCTGCCCCACCCCTGCCCTGCCCCAGGAATGTGTCCCCCTGCCCTGCCCCTGCAATGTCCCCCTGCCCCACCCCTGCAATGTCCCCCTGCCCTGCCCCAGGAATGTGTCCCCCTGCCCCACCCCGCCACTACAATGTATCCCCCTGCCCTGCCCCTGCAATGTGTCCCCCTGCCCTGCCCCAGAAATGTGTCCCCCTGCCCCACCCCACCACTACAATGTCCCCCTGCCCCGCCCCAGCAATGTGTCCCCCTGCCCTGCCCCTGCAATGTCCCCCTGCCCCACCCCTGCAATGTCCCCCTGCCCTGCCCCAGGAATGTGTCCCCCTTCCCCACCCCGCCACTACAATGTATCCCCCTGCCCTGCCCCTGCAATGTGTCCCCCTGCCCTGCCCCAGAAATGTGTCCCCCTGCCCCACCCCACCACTACAATCTCCCCCTGCCCCGCCCCAGCAATGTGTCCCCCTGCCCTGCCCCTGCAATGTCCCCCTGCCCTGCCCCAGAAATGTGACCCCCTGCCCCACCCCACCACTACAATGTCCCCCTGCCCCACCCCACCACTACAATGTCCCCCTGCCCTGCCCCAGAAATGTGTCCCCCTGCCCCACCCCACCACTACAATCTCCCCCTGCCCCGCCCCAGCAATGTGTCCCCCTGCCCTGCCCCTGCAATGTCCCCCTGCCCTGCCCCAGAAATGTGTCCCCCTGCCCCGCCCCAGCAATGTATCCCCCTGCCCTGCCCCTGCAATGTCCCCCTGCCCTGCCCCTGCAATGTCTCCCTGCCCCACCCCTGCAATGTCACCCTGCCCCACCCCTGCAATGTCCCCCTGCCCCACCCCGCAATGTCCCCCTGCCCCGCCCTGCAATGTCCCCCTGCCCCACCCCTGCCCCACCCCGCAATGTCCCCCTGCCCCGCCCTGCAATGTCCCCCTGCCCTGCCCCTGCAATGTATCCCCCTGCCCTGCCCCTGCAATGTCTCCCCCTGCCCTGCCCCAGCAATGTGTCCCCCTGCCCTGCCCCGCCACTACAATGTACCCCCCTGCCCCGCCACTACAATGTACCCCCCTGCCCCGCCCCTGCAGTGTCCCCCTGCCCTGCCCCTGCAATGTATCCCCTGCCCCACCCCACCACTACAATGTACCCCCCTGCCCCGCCCCTGCAATGTGTCCCCCTGCCCCATCCCGCCACTACAATGTACCCCCCTGCCCCACCCCTGCAATGTGTCCCCCTGCCCTGCCCCTGCAATGTACCCCCCTGCCCCTGCAATGTACCCTCTGCCCCGCCCTGATCCTGCTATGTGCCCCCTGCCCCGCCCCTGGAATGAACCCCTTGTCCTGCCCCACCCCGCCCCTGCAATATACCCCCCTGCCCCACCCCTGCAATGTGCCCTCTACCTGCCCACCCGCATGTCTACCTGGAACATGCATTGTGTCCCCCCCAGTTCAGATCAGGTGTCTAGACTGAGCATGCTTCAGCTCCCTGAGTAAACAAGCAGCCCTGCTACACTGTGGGAGCAAAACACAAACTTACAGTGAGGCATGAACTGGAAAAAAGACTTTTAGAAATAGGATATATCGGTTGATTTGGTGTATGGATTTTGGCACCTGACACCTGATTTCTTCCAGGTTAAGCAGCCCAGGATGAATGTTCGGTTACAGTGCTGGGGGTATTGTGTACACCGCAGATTAACTGCCATCATGTTGCCTTGTGGGCTCAGAGGCTTCAAACATGTGCTCAGGAAATGTAATGATCAACGATCTCAGGGGTTTACCTAGGATTCCAAAATTAAGCCCTTGGCAGACAAACTGAGAAAAACTCATTATTTTATTTCGAAATTGGAATTTTTATAAAACTTTCTATTTTCTCAAATTAAGGGGTAACTGGGAAAAACTCAGTTTTTGTCAACATTGGGGTGTTTAAACATTGCATTGAATACAGTAGTGTCACACTGAGCACTAAAGCCCAAATGTCTTTGCCCTTGCATCATCCATAGAGGCAATATGGGGCAGCCTAGTGGTTAATGTGTTCGCTCCTTATGCCGAAGACCCGGGTTCAATGCCCACATGGGTACAATGTGTGAAACCCATGTCTGGTTCTGATGTTCCCCGCCATGATATTGCTTGAATATAACTAAAGCGGTAAAGCCATGCTCGCACCAACCCACCCACCCACATATCAGTACTTCTCTTGCCTGTCTCCTATAAAAGACGAGGTATGATAAAGTCCTTATTTGGTCAACACCCGCCAAATTACAAGTCCTTTCTTTCAAACCGACCCCTTGTAATACGTCATTGGTGTCATCAGGGTGACTGAACAAATCAGAGGGTCAAACTTGATCCCTTGGTGGATTGTGTGTTACTCATGATATCAGTCACTTGTTTGTTTGTTTCGTCCAGATTCGAATATTTACAGGCAGTTGTCTCTGGGATGGAACCACTCTCTGGGGTGACGCTTTACCTCTAGACCAAGGAGTCTGTCTACACTGAGATGGACCTGCTCTCTGGGGTGACGCGCTACCTCTAGACCACGGAGTCGGTCTACACTGGGATGGAACCTGCTCTCTGGGGTGACGCTCTACCTCTAGACCACGGAGTCGGTCTACACTGGGATGGAACCCACTCTCTGGGGTGATGCGCTACCTCTAGACCACGGAGTCGGTCTACACTGGGATGGACCTGCTCTCTGGGGTGACGCTCTACCTCTAGACCACGGAGTCGGTCTACACTGGGATGGAACCCGCTCTCTGGGGTGACGCTCTACCTCTAGACCACGGAGTCGGTCTACACTGGGATGGAACCCACTCTCTGGGGTGACGCGCTACCTCTAGACCACGGAGTCGGTCTACACTGCGATGGAACCCGCTCTCTGGGGTGACGCTCTACCTCTAGACCACGGAGTCGGTCTACAGTGGGATGGAACTGCTCTCTGGGGTGACGCTCTACCTCTAGACCACGGAGTCGGTCTACAGTGGGATGGAACCGCTCTCTGGGGTGATGCGCTACCTCTAGACCACGGAGTCGGTCTACAGTAGGATGGAACTGCTCTCTGGGGTGATGCGCTACCTCTAGACCACGGAGTCGGTCTACAGTAGGATGGAACTGCTCTCTGTGGTTACGCTCTACCTCTAGACCACGGAGTCGGTCTACAGTGGGATGGAACTGCTCTCTGGGGTGACGCTCTACCTCTAGACCACGGAGTCAGTCTACACTGGGATGGAACTGCTCTCTGGGGTGACGCTCTACCTCTAGACCACGGAGTCGGTCTACACTGGGATGGAACTGCTCTCTGGGGTGACGCTCTACCTCTAGACCACGGAGTCGGTCTACACTGGGATGGACCTGCTCTCTGCGGTGACACTCTACCTCTAGACCACGGAGTCGGTCTACAGTGGGATGGAACTGCTCTCTGGGGTGAAGCGCTACCTCTAGACCACGGAGTCGGTCTACAGTGGGATGGACCTGCTCTCTGGGGTGACGCTCTACCTCTAGACCATGGAGACGGTCTACACTGGGATGGAACTGCTCTCTGGGGTGATGCGCTACCTCTAGACCACGGAGTCGGTCTACAGTAGGATGGAACTGCTCTCTGGGGTTACGCTCTACCTCTAGACCACGGAGTCGGTCTACAGTGGGATGGAACTGCTCTCTGGGGTGACGCTCTACCTCTAGACCACGGAGTCAGTCTACACTGGGATGGAACTGCTCTCTGGGGTGACGCTCTACCTCTAGACCACGGAGTCGGTCTACACTGGGATGGAACTGCTCTCTGGGGTGACGCTCTACCTCTAGACCACGGAGTCGGTCTACACTGGGATGGACCTGCTCTCTGCGGTGACACTCTACCTCTAGACCACGGAGTCGGTCTACAGTGGGATGGAACTGCTCTCTGGGGTGAAGCGCTACCTCTAGACCACGGAGTCGGTCTACACTGGGATGGAACCTGCTCTCTGGGGTGACGCTGTACCTTTAGACCACGGAGTCGGTCTACAGTGGGATGGAACTGCTCTCTGGGGTGACGCTCTACCTCTAGACCACGGAGTCGGTCTACACTGGGATGGACCTGCTCTCTGCGGTGACGCTCTACCTCTAGACCACGGAGTCGGTCTACAGTGGGATGGAACTGCTCTCTGGGGTGACGCTCTACCTCTAGACCACGGAGTCGGTCTACAGTGGGATGGACCTGCTCTCTGGGGTGACGCTCTACCTCTAGACCATGGAGACGGTCTACACTGGGATGGAACTCACTCTCTGGGGTGACGCTCTACCTCTAGACCACAGAGTCGGTCTACAGTGGGATGGAACCGCTCTCTGCGGTGACACTCTACCTCTAGACCACGGAGTCGGTCTACAGTGGGATGGAGCTGCTCTCTGGGGTGACGCTCTACCTCTAGACCACGGAGTCGGTCTACAGTGGGAATTGGGTGGTACTGGTTGGTTTGTTCCATAATACAAGGTCATTCACACGTTTGTATTTGTCTGTGTCCTAAAATAACATTCACTCATTCGTCATTTGTTTGAAATTTAGATTTTTATCACATTTATGTACACCACTGGAATAAAAATAAATTCTTATTTTTTTGTAAAAAAGATTATACACCCCCTCATATGTAGTTCAATAAATTAGTGATGTTTCTAAAGAATGACTCAATTTTAATTCATCTTGAAATCTCCACAGTACAAGATAATGTTAGGTTGCTCATGAAGACGGATGCCCGACCAGGATGCTCGGCTCTGTAGCCGGAGGTGACGCACTGCATGGAACTCAACACAAAGAACAGAATGTTTCTCCGTGTTTGTTATAAATAGAAAAAAGAAACAATTCCTGCTCTTTTTGATGACGGATAAATTAGAAAATTCTGCTTTAATGACCAGACAGGGACTCCTTGTCGAAGGGGGGTAATTACAGGCGGGTCCTAACGAGTGTCATCAGCTGGGGACTAATTAGTGCAATCAGAGTCGGACAGCGGATATTGAGATCGGGTATATCGTCCCACTCGTCTAGACATGCTTCCGGAGACAAAACAATGAGTCAGCTCCGTCTCCAGTCCAGCCCAAACAATTGATCCAGACGTTCGTTTTTCGAGCATGTCGGACAATGGTGAAAAGTGCCCATGTTGAAAAAAAATATCAGTTGGGATCACAACCATGAGAGGCCATTGTGTGCTGGGAGAAGTGTGAAATTAAGCGTTGTGTTCACAGAGGATATGAAATAAGGCATTTGTATTGAGTCTAGAGGACATGTTTGTTTTGTACGAGAGAGGTGAAGTGAGAAAATATCTTCTGATTGTCATCCAGGCAGATAAACGATGAACACAGTCAATTTCACATGTGTGTATTTAGAGACGGGGCTGGCTGTCGGTTTAGTGGTCATAACGAGCCTTGCTGCTTCAATGGCTACCTCCAGGTTGGCAAGCCTTCCTCAGGCTCTGATAGACGAAGAAGTTGAGATTTAGAGACAATTTAAAAGTCTGGTGTCTAAAAGTATCGGCTTTGGTGTCATGGGGTCAATAATG